GGTCACTCCACACAAGCAAAGTACCAGCAAAGGAGGGGGGGAAAACTCCAGAGAGGTTCCTGAGACAGGAAGCCTAGTCCTGCCAAGAATGTAATAAGGGTTAATGGAGAGGCAATTTCTGTAAGCATCACCAGAATGTTTCCTTCCTGCCTTCCTTACAGGATTAGGCCAGTAATTTCTTCTAACAACCGGTTCTCCGAACTGCTTAGAATGTTAACAACCAGTTCTAGCGAATAGGTGCGAATCGGTAGAATCCCACCCCTGCTCCCCAGGCTCTGGAGGCTTTCCTCGAGTCTCCGGGAGGGTGAAAACAGCCTCCCCAGGCTCCAGAGGCTCTCTGGAAGCTGGAAATGGGCCAATTTCTGGCCTTCCTGAACTTCTCCCTCCCCAAGCCTCCATGTCTGTCCTGCACTTACCTGCATCCAAAATGGGCCTCATGGGGACTCCTGGGAGGGGAGGGGGGCAGCGAGGAGTGGGATTTGGGGGTTCTCTGAACTGCACAGAATCTTAGCTAGGGGCTCTCCTGGACCCCTGCAAACCCCCAGCAGCCCACCCCTTAAATGCAGTGAATGCAGTTTCTTTGAAAGCAGTGCCAATCTCAAGATAGTTTTCAAGTATTTAATTTAGCCAGACTTATATAAAACTGTTATTTTGGTCAACTGTTTTGCATTCCCTTAATATAATGTACATACCCATACTAAATACAGTTGCAGAAGCAATCTGTGTGGTTAAATTACCATTCTGTTCAGCTTCTACAAGTGGACTAATTGCCAAGCAAGATTTTTCTACCGTACATATTTTTCTACCAGTGAGTGATGACATCTCTTGTGAGTATGTTCCCCCCACCCCCCACACACACTATTTTTGACTTTTTGTTCAGTTTCATAGAAATTAAAAGCATGTATTTGAATTTCAGTTTTAGTTTTCACCCCCAAGTACTGGAGTATAGAGACATCACCTTGGTGACTTTGTTTAGTCAAAGTTACAGTTTTCCCAGTAGTAATGTGTGGGCTGTGAGAGAGTAGCACGGTGGCCCATTGGTGAAGACACTGGTTTCCCCCTCGGAAGATTGAAAGTTTAATCCTCGGCAACAGCAGGTGTTTCTCTATCAGGGCATAAACAGGCAATATCTGCTGTGAACTCCACGTAGACATCAGGAAAGGCATTTGGCCAATAAATGCTCAGTTCCATTCAGTTGCCTTGATCCTATCCCGAATAAAAGGATTAAAGGGTCATAAAAAGAAAAGAAATGTATATCTGTGAGAGTTGAACCATAAGGAACACTGAGCATCGAAGAAATGATGCCTTCAAATTGTGATGTTGGAAAAGACACTTGACAGTTTCTTGGGTGGCAAGGAGAAAAAAATCAGTCAGCCCTAAAGGAAATCAACTCTGATTGTTCTTTGGAAGGAGAGATACTGAACTTGAAGCTCAAATACTTTGGCCAACAAATGAGAAAAAAGGACTCTTTAGAAAAGCTCCTGATGTTGGAAAACTACAAAGCAAAAGGAGAATGGGATGGCAAAGAATGAGATGGTTTGATAGTTTCATCAACACAATGGACATGAATAAGGGCAAACTCTGTCAGATGGAGTAGAACAAGTAGGCTTGGCAATCTGTGGTCCATGAGGTCACGAAGTCAGACACAATTTAGTGACTGACCAACAACTGAAGTCTGGTCTATGGCTTGCCATGTTAAAGCTAACTATGTTCCTTAGCCTGAAAAAATTATATACTCCAGTCTTGATATGCAAAGACAGAATTCCCCAACCTTTCCAAGTTGATGGCCCAGAGCAAGGGGGGCGGGAGAAGGGAAAGGGGATGGTTTTGTGGGAGAGGCAGGCATGTGTACATGCATGTGTGCATGTATGAGTGGAGCCGCAAGGTCCTGTGATACTCATCCGAATGTGGCCCTGAGAGCCCGCGATGCTTGTGGAAGTGGGGATGTGCATGCACGTGTGCACCAGCCAGCCACTCACACAGTCCTGTTTTGAATAGGCTGCAGACTGATAGTTTGCCCTGGCCCACAGGTTGGGGGGACCTCCGTGCTAAGAGATATGAACAAAAGAATATTAATGAAGACCGTGTTGTTATTCTTGGGGCTTCATCAGTATGAATTGAGTGTTTTGCTGCTTCTAGATTGCGAAGAGTCAAATTTCTAATTTGATTCATTACTATCATTAAAATCTTTAATGACCTCTGTTGTCTTTTATCAGGTTCAACTCATATATGAGTTGTTCATTTGGATGGAGCTTGTTCATTTGGATGGAGTCACCTGGTTGAAATTACAGACACTCTGATAATGTTTCATTTAGATAATTATAATCATGTTTGTAGTGCTGCTTTAATATCAGTTTGGTATTAATTCAAACTATGGACAACAGATTACAAATGTTGGCTCCCTATGTGTAATTGAGCCCCGCTTAAAATGTTGGTTTTTAATCTTAAAAGTCCTAAATTGCTTAGTACTAGTTTATCTGGAAAGTTGTCTATATTTCTATTTATTTATTTATTGCATTTGCTGCCTGATTCGATAAAAAAAAAAGTTCTCTGGAAGTTTTAGCATAAAAATAGCAAAATACATAAAAACCAATAAAAAAGAACTAGAGTATAATAGGCCAATTCATATCTATCTATCTGAACATTATGGGCATTTTTCCAGAGGGCCCACCTCATAATTATTATTCAATGAAATTACAGGGGGGGGGATGTTCATTAATTGTACTCTGTCTTGGAACAGCCTACTCACTCAGCAAGATATGTCACATGAGATCATTGGGCAGCAGGAAACATTCACCCAGACTTTTAAAATAAATTACATAATTAACTTGTGATCTCTCAGTTTTCAAATTATTCTGCGGTTGCTGTGAGATTTATTTTTGTTGCATTAATCTTGTTTTTGATTCCGCACAGCCTTTTGTTTTAAATTGGTTTTATGTTTACTTATTGTAATCTTTCCACAAAGTTTCATCTTACATGGTGCTATGCAAATGTCATAAATATTTAAAATAAATAACGTTTAGGCAATCTTTTCTTTTTTTCCCCTTTTGTAAATATTTTTTCTTCAAATTAAAAATGCTAGTGATAAGAATGGTAACTTTAAGAATTAGTAATTGTGCTTTCAACTTTGAGTGTAAACCTTCCAACAAGGATTAGATGAACACTGAGAATCTTTTGAGCTAAAGAAAGGAATAAAAAATTTGTTAAATAAATAAATACTGCATTATCTCAAAGCACTTTTTAACTGTTACTGAATAAACCATTGGATTGGTTCATACAATACACCGTCATAAATCATGGCTTACAAATTACGTTGGTTATGTTTATACAATGTCCTAAACTAAAAATAAACTACATTGTGATTAATATGATATATGATCTTAGCAGTAGCTGTGTTTGTACAATACTCTTAGTTAAATGCCATCAAGTAGAACTTGTCTGGTGATGACTGCATGGGTAAATGCTTGACAGCTTGACATATCCCAAACAACAACCCTAGCTCTTCTTTGAATTCATCATCCATCTCATCCATTGTCACCTGCTAATTTTCTTTCCTTAGCTTTGCCAAACATCGTTTTTCTTTTCCAGTCTCTCAACTCTTCATATCACATGCCTGAAGGATTGTGCTTGACTGATCACCACCTCAAGGAAACAGTCAGTTCTTTTAATCCAGGACTGATTAATTGGGTTCTTGAAGTCCATGACCTTTTAGTGACCGTCTCCAAATCTGTAATTTGAAGGAGCCTATCTTGTTCAACTTGTTCTTTTCAAATATTTGGATTTTAGAGTCATTACTTTCCATATTGTTATAGAAATATCTCCTATTTTAAAATGAACTTGTTTAAGTTTGTCATAGATTTCATCCCTAGGATTATTATTATTTTTGCTCATGTAGTATTATTTTCCTGTTTAGCTATTCTTGAGCTCAAAGGAGGAAACCACCTTCAGTTTTTCACTTTCGGGTGTAAATTTCTTATGCATATTATTTAATTCTGTCTTCGTTTTTATTCTGATGTTCTTTTCTTTCTACTTTACCCAATAACCAACCTACAACAACATATTTATGCAAAGCATTCCATAATTCAAAGGTATTTACTTTGTCATGTACTATGTAATATTTTTCTTCATCGTATTCATATACTTCTTAATGATCTAAAATGGGAGGAGGAGGGAAATGGTCTACACACCCAACATAAAATCACAACATCCCCAAATCTGCTTGTTATTGTTACCTTACTATGCTTGCAACCATCTTTTTTTTCCTATATGTACTACAGAATGACTTTTGGGTTTTAAATTAATGTATTTCACTGGTTAAGATAAAAATTTACCGTAGCTAAACAAAAATGGCAGATCTTTTCCAAAAACAATAGCAAAATAAAGAACAATACATGAATTAAAATAGTGTGAATAGACCTATAGACAATGTATTAAAATTGAAGATGTTAAAGTTTGTTGTAAGCAAGCAATAGCCTGAGAAAATTCTAAAAATCAGAGGCTATAAATGTTCTTGGTTTCCTAATTGTGCAAGCAAGAATTGCTATCAGTGGGTAATAATGTCTGAATTAGCATCTCTAGGGATACTTACTACTGATTAAGGCACCAGCTAAAAACCAGGAGAATGAGTTCTAGGCCTCCCTTAGGCAGGAAAGCTGTTGGAAGACTTTGGGCCAGTCACACTCACTCTCACTGGTTGTTTTTGTTGAGAAAATAAAAAAAATAAGGAACATTGGGTGTATTTTCCGCCTTTACTTATTTATAAAAAATATTAAAGGCAGAGTTAAAAATCCTTTTCTGATTGTGTATAACAAGTAGAAACTGTTTTACCAAGCAATGCAACAAACAACACCTTTTGGCCTATGTGTTCGTCCTTTGTTGTTTGTATGGAAATACTGATACCCTTTTATGATATCAAAAATAAATTTTACACAACCAATAGATGTACGTGGGATTAATAATTTTACAGCATTTCTTTTATTCCTCTTTCCCCCCCTCTTCAGATAGATAAATGGCTGGCCTTGTGGGTAAAACTCTTGCTTACACCTGAATACGTCCAAATTCAGACCCTCAATCGACTTTAGCTTTTCTGCCTGCCTATATTTTGGTAAGTTTTTTCTTTGTGCATGTTTGTAACTTCACAGTACACAGTACACGTTTAAAATAATGTTCACCTTTAAATATTTAACATTTTACTTTCTTTCCTGGTACTGCACTTGACTGGCTAGATTAGGAACGTCAAACTTGCAATGACACGTTGTCATGTGACTTATCACAACTTTTTTCCCCTCTGCTAAAACGGGGGTGGGCATGGTCAGCATGTGATGCATCTGGCCCTCGGGCTGTGAGTTTGACACCCGTAGTTGAGGTACACAGTTTGAACTAGGACAATTATTATTGTGATTAGCGTGGTAGTGGTAATATTAAAGGAATGGGCAAGCCATAGGTAGTTCATACTTACTTCCCCTTCTCCTAATGTTTAGTGATACAAAGCTTTAGCTGTGAAAAAGTTAAATTACTGTATACATGCCACTATCTACTACTCATAGTTTCACAACTGAAAACGTTAGAAAATAAATACCATGCCATCTGAATCTAGAGCAAATTGATAGAATTATGATAATGGTTTTGGGTCATACAGAAGATAATGTGAACTATTGCTTTTCATATTTTAATGTGAGGGATAATTTGGCCAAAAACCTGGATATAGCCATGGATAACTGCACACAGGTTCAGTATCTGGCAGAACTTAGGATACATGATCTGAACTGCAGTGGAGCTCTTCTGGGGATAAGGGCAGTCAGAAGACACGGCTTCTGTTAGTTTTGATCAATCTAGTAGTTTCATATTTTTATCAGTTTGTCTAAGGGATGTTGGTATGTTCAGAGAGTCCTCAACTTACAGTTGATTTAGTGATTGTTCAAAATTACAATGGCACTGAAAAAAAGTGATATATGACCATTTTTTCACAGCTGTGATCTTTGCAGGATCCCTCTGGTCACATGATAAAAATTCAGATGTTTGGCAACTGGTTCATATTTATGATCGTTGCTGTGCCCTGGAATCATGTGATCATCTTTTGCAACCTACTGGCAAGCAGGAAGAATCCAGATTCACTTAAAAACTACCTTAACAACTGCAGTGATTCACTTAACAACTGTGCCAAAAAGGTCATAAAATGGGGCAAAGCTGCCTTAACAAATATCCCCCTTAACCACAGAGATTTTGACCTCAATTGTGGTTATAAGTCAAGGACTATCTGTACCAAAGATCTTTACCTGAAGAGAATTTTAAGGTTTGATCATTATATATTTTCCTTTGTTAAATCCTGAGAATAAAAATAGTCATAGGCTAGGATAGAATTACTTGGAGAAATTCCTAAAGTACTGAAATTTTAATTTTAACATAAATATGAACCAGTTGCCAAGCATCTAAAATACTAGGTAAACCATTGTAATATCTTTGGGAAGAGTAAGATAAAAATGGAGGCATTCATAAAAGAAATCCAGTTGAGTTTCTGCACAATTGTCATGAATATTTATGGTTTGTCTACTTTGCTTCTTTTGCTGATGAAGAATAGTTCAGTAATATCAGTCATTCCATCTGAAATACACTGCTCAAAAAAATAAAGGGAACACTTAAACAACACAATGTAACTCCAAGTCAATCACACTTCTGTGAAATGGCAATCTGTGACTTCAAAGCAAGAAGCAGGGTTTTTTTAAAAAAAGTTTTTTATTTTTACAACAAAAACAACAAATAATACCTTTCAATCATACTCAATTATTCTTATTGAGTTTACATTCATATTATATTCTAATCAACATTATACACTGCTCAAAAAAATAAAGGGAACACTTAGACAACCCAATGTAACTCCAAGTCAATCACACTTCTGTGAAATTAAACTGTCCACTTAGGTAGCAACACTGGTTGACAATCAATTTCACATGCTGTTGTGCAAATGGAATTTCAGACAACAGGTGGAAAGCATAGGCAGTTAGCAAGACATCCCCAATAAAGGAATGGTTCTGCAGGTGGTGACCATAGACCACTTCTCAGTTCCTATGCTTTCTGGCTGATGGTTTGGTCACTTTTGAATGCTGGTGGTGCTTTCACTCTAGTGGTAGCATGAGACGGAGTCTACAACCCACACAAGTGGCTCAGGTAGTGCAGCTCATCCTGGATGGCAAATCAATGCGAGCTGTGGCAAGAAGGTTTGCTGTGTCAGCGTAGTGTCCAGAACTTGGAGGCGCTACCAGGAGACAGGGCAGTACATCAGGAGATGTGGAGGAGGCCATAGGAGGGCAACAACCCAGCATCAGGACCACTACCTCCACCTTTGTGCAAGGAGGGACAGGAGGAGCACTGCCAGAGCCCTGCAAAATGACCTCCAGCGGACCACAAATGTGCATGTGGCTGCTCAAACGGTCAGAAACAGACTCCATGAGGGTGGTATGAGGGCTCGACATCCACAGGTGGGGGTTGGGCTTACAGCCCAACACCGTATAGGACGTTTGGCATTTGCCAGATAACACCAAGATTGGCAAATTCGCCACTGGTGCCCTGTGCTCTTCACAGATGAAAGCAGGTTCATACTGAGCACATGAGACAGACGTGACAGGGTCTGGAGACGCCGTGGAGAACGTTCTGCTGCCTGCAACATCCCCCAGCATGGCCGGTTTGGCAGTGGGTCAGTAATGGTGTGAGGTGGCATTTCTTTAGGGGGCTGCACAGCCCTCCATGAGCTCATCAGAGGTAGCCTGACTGCCATTAGATACCGAGATGAGATCCTCAGACCCCTTGTGAGACCATATGCTGTTGCGGTTGGCCCTGGATTCCTCCTAATGCACGACAATGCTAGACCTCATGTGGCTGGAGTGTGTCAGCGGTTCCTGCAAGACGAAGATATTGATGCTATGGACTGGCCCACCCGTTCCCCAGACCTGAATCCAACTGAGCACATCTGGGACATCATGTCTCACTCCATCCACCAACGCCACGTTGCACCACAGACTGTCCAGGAGTTGGGGGATGCTTTAGTCCAGGTGTGGGAGGAGGTCCCTCAGGAGACCATCCGCCACCTCATCAGGAGCATGCCCAGGTATTGTAGGGAGGTCATGCAGGCATGTGGAGGCCACACACACTACTGGGCCTCATTTTGACTTGTTTTAAGGACATTATATCAAAGTTGGATCAGCCTGTAGGTTTTTTCCACTTTAATTTTGAGTGTAACTCCAAATCCAGACCTCCATGGGTTGCTATATTTGATTTCCATTGATAATTTTTGTGTGATTTTGTTGTCAGCACATTCAACTATGTAATGAACAAAGTATTTAATAAGAATATTTCATTCATTCAGATCTAGGATGTCTTATTTTTGTGTTCCCTTTATTTTTTTGAGCAGTGTATATTTTTGCCCACTGCATTTCTCATGAAAAGAGTATGCAACTAATTTTTAATCACATTAGATACAATTTTATATGGTTTTTAATGTACTAATATTGTGATATCATAGTGCTTTTCATTACTTTAAGTATGTCAGTGTATTCTTCCTGACGTAATGGCCAATGTATATGAAGCCAGAATGAATTTAATCCTGAAAGGTTCAACAATAATGAACCCCTGCAGTCTAAAGTTACAAGTTTTAGTTATTGTTTCTAATTAGATATAAATGTTTAAGTTATAGATAATCTTTGATTTATAACCGGTCGCTTAGTGACTGTTTGAAGTTAGCACAGACCTCCCTTGGAGTTATTTGCAAAATGGCTTTGAAGTTACAACAGCACGTGGGGCAAGTTACAATGCTCCACATGCTCCATGACCACATGTTAGACACTTGGCTACCGGCCCGCGTTTACAGCTCTTTGTAGTGTCTCACAATCAGGTGACTACATTTTATTATAGGTTTGCTGAAAAACAACATTTATTTTCAATTATCCACAAAACTGGCCCATAGTGAACCGTTGTTCCCAATGGTGGGATTCAATTTTTTTTTACTACCGGTTCTGTGGGTGTGGCTTGGTGGGTGTGGCAGGGGAAGGATACTGCAAAATCTCCAGTCAGAGGTGGTATTTGCTGGTTCTCCAAACTACTCAAAATTTTCGCTACCGGTTCTCCAGAACCGATCAGAAACTGCTGAATACCACCTCTGTTGTTCCCCTCAAAAACCTCAACGTTTGGTTAATGAGTGCCTCAAAAAAGATAACATTGGATCAGTAATGTGGGTGACCTGATTTACTATCCTCACAACTTATGTCGGTGTTGGCCTGGTTCCATTAGAGTTGTAAGTCAAAGGCTACCTGTGCCAACTGCTTTCTGTGAGTATTCCAGGCTTTAAAATGTATCTGCTGGTTAGTCCTAGCGTAACCTAATTTTGTATCTGTATAAATGGACTGGAGGGAGTGTTGTTTTGTATGCTACCTGCACCCCGCAGATGGGGCTTCACTTGTTTGCATGGCCAGGTTTCTGGCATGCCACAGACCAGTGCCAGTCCATGGACCAGGGGTTGGGGACCCCTGATATAAGGGGTGGGCTTCAAATTTTTAAGAAGGGGTTGTCTGCCCTAATGACTGGCTGGCTGGGTGTGGCTGGGTGGTCATGTGACTGGGTAGGTGTGGCTAACTCGACATTGCTTCTTTGCCCTAATTACCTAAAAAAAAGGTATATACCTTTTATATACCTTTACGGTTATTATTTTGTGCATGTAATACTTAAATAAAAGGCTGGATAAAACCAGGCTTAATAGCAGTGACTGTGAGAGGGATCTTGGGAGTCTGTGGAGTTTCTGGTGAGTTACATGGTTCTTATTATTTGGGAATTAATCCTCTCAGAGGCTAGCGGCTATGTTATCTGTTTTTCTCAATGGGTCTCCCTTGCAAGCGCTGAGTGGATTGTTTATGTAGCTTGCAACACTTTTACAAGGTGTGAAATGCTCTTGGCTGAACACCCAGAAGTTCAGTTAAGCCTATTAAGAGCTTTCCCTTGCTGCTTGTCTTTCTGAGATTATTGGGGGTTCTACGAGCCCCGCAGAGTGTTAGCTAGGGGCTCTCCTGAGCTGCTGCAAGCTGCCGGCAGCTCACCCTTGTATACGGCACTCTATGATGT